GAGAGAGAGAGAGAGAGAGAGAGAGAGAGAGAGAGAGAGAGAGAGAGAGAGAGAGAGCGACCCGACCTCCACTCACCGCATCGGGCACAATGGAGTTCTCGGTGTGCTCAATGCAGTTGAACGAAACATTGCAGCTTATCGCCCGCGCGTCCAACCTCACAACGAGCGAGGTGGATCAAATGAGATCGTATTTCTGTAGCATCGACGGACATGTCAATCAGATGTATAGCACTATTTATAGCATAGGTAGTAGTGTGGACGCGACTTTCGTCTTTTTCTCAGCATACCTGGTTTTCGCGATGCAAGCAGGATTCGCCATGCTGACCGCCGGCGCTGCAAGATCTCAGAACAAGTCCAACATCATCATGCTCACGACTGTCGTGGATGCAGCTGTCTGTGCGATCTTCTACTATTTTTTCGGGTTTGCCTGCGCCTATGGGAGACCATGGAACGGCTTCGTCGGCAAACACAATTTCGGCGGATGGATGAACTTCGCCCAATTCGCCGAATACGACGACGAGTATCCCTCTGCCAGACCCGGACAAGGCAATCCCTGGAACCCGCTGGGTAATCATCGCGTGTGGGTGTTCGAGTGGGCAAGTGCTGCAGCTGTGGCGGCCATAGCCAGCGGGGCTATGGCGGAGAGAAGCCAGGTCACGGCACATATAGCTTCCTCGGCTTTCTTGTCCGGATTCGTGTATCCGGTGATCTGCCACTGGGTGTGGGAACCACACGGGTGGCTAAGCGTTTACAGCCAAGGAAAACGCGTGATGGGGGTTGGCATGCTGGATATCGCTGGCAGTGGGACCATCCACCTGACGGGCGCCATCGCCGGCTTCTGGGGAGCGCTCATCTTGGGCCCCCGGCTTGGCTTTTCCCGCTCAAAGAGTGGTTATGGCGGCTATGGCGGCGCATCGTCGAGGGGGAGAGGTCATGGACGCAGCAGCACTCTTGTGGTTCTGGGCACTTTGCTCCTTTGGCTTGGGTGGTATGGAATCTACCCGGGGTCGATCCTGGGCATCGTTCCCAGACACTACACTGCCATGAAAGGGGTTGTGAATAGAGCCGCCATCACCACGACTCTAGCCGGCGCCGCCTCCGCCATAGCCACGTTCTTCGTCAGGAGGTGGTTGACAGGTAGCTGGAAGGTCGAGGACGCTTGCGGTGGGCTTGTTGGCGGACTGGTCGCTGCGTCGGCGGGTTGTGCGGTGATAGAGCCGTCGGCGGGGATGCTGCTGGGCGTCATCGCCGCTTTGGTGCTGATTGCCGTGAAGCGGCTTGCGAAAGCCGTCGGCTTGGACGACCCCATGGAAGCGCTCCAGCGGCACGGGGCCTGCGGCTTGGTCGGACTGCTGTTCGTCGGAGTCTTCGCCACGGAGGACTATGTGATGCAAATGTTTGGCGACGACGAATTGCCCGACGAGACTCCTTGCGGATGGTTGTACGGAAAAAGAGGCAGAAAATTACTCGCCGCTCAGGCGATCGGCGCTGCTTGTATCGTGGGTTGGACCTCCGTGGCTATGGCGCCGTTGTTCTTGTTGCTCCGCATAGCCGGCTTGCTGCGGATCAGCAGAGAAGAGGAGGCTGCGAGATTTGGCGATCGCGACTCCGACCTCGTTCTCGGGGACGAATCGTGACGAAGCTGAGCTCTTTCCAACACCCGCTGTCGTGGCGGACTTGATGGCCACGGATGTATACCCAGAGCGAACTTGGGTAGGGAGGCCGCGGGGAGAGAGAGAGAGAGAGAGAGAGAGAGAGAGAGAGAGAGAGAGAGAGAGAGAGAGAGAGAGAGAGAGAGAGGTGGGTAAAAAGGGAGAAGGTCAACATAAGGGCGAGATCTATGTAAGCCCTGAATACTTTGTTAATTGGAACTCGCTTAAACCTTTCATGCGATGAGTGTGTGTGTGTGTGTGTGTGTGTGTGAGAGAGAGAGAGAGAGAGAGAGAGAGAGAGAGCTCAGAGCAACGATAAGGGCGAGATCTGTGTAAGCCCTGTACACTGTGTTTGTTGGAAGTCGATCGATCCTTAGAAACTGACAATTATGCCATGAGAGAGAGAGAGAGAGAGAGAGAGAGAGAGAGAGAGAGAGAGAGAGAGAGAGAGAGAGAGAGAGAGTTGTAGTAGAGGGTGATTAACGGAGGAGAAAGTAACTGTAAGAGCAAGATCTATTGAAGCCCAGTGTGCTGTTTTCGTTGGAACTCGACGAAAGCTTAGATTCCGACAATGATGCTATTAGATATGGATTCAGGCGACGAGGAGGTGTTGAGAAGTGAAGAGAGTATCCTCGCAGTTGAGATTAGTATGTAGGACAGATTAGAGGCTTGCTGCCGTGAGGTCAGTATGTAAGGAAGTGTATCCAGCGTTCAACCAAACTTACGCGTGACATATTGAGATAAGAGAAGATGACCCTCTCACTTGAGATTAGTATGTCGGACAATAGGGGTGTCTTACAGACAAGGCATCCGTGATCAATCGGATTCGATCCCACTGTACGTCCCGTCTCGCCCGTAGGTGAAGTATCGCCCTTCCCCCCCCCCCGCCTCTTTTTTCGTCCGTTTTCAGGTTTTCGATCCAATGTCCACTCCTCTCAGGCTCTCGCTCCTCCATCAGTAAAGGAGAAACCAGGTCTGCTGGAAATATTTTTCTCTCACGGCCAGCGCCATCACCACCATCGCTGCCCTCACTCGTCTTTCGATGCTCTCTTCTCCTATAGTAAACCAGAAACCGACCTTCTTTTACTTTTGTTTTGTTTAGAGACTAAATTCTTGTTTAGAAAGTAATTGAAAGTATTAGAAACTACAGTCTTCCCCCGAATACAACGTACGGTCATTATAGCTGAATTTGGGGCATCTTTCAGTCTAAGTTCAGCTATAATGACCGTACGTTGTATTCGGGGGAAGACTGTAGCTTCGACTGCAGTTTGTTCGCAACAGAAACACTCGATTCTATCGTTTCTATGACAGACAAAAAAATAAAATGATTTTGATCTTAGTGATTAGTTCTACGACACAGGAAGAATAGGATGTTGATCTCAGCTATAGAGAGAGGAATCTCCCTCTCCTCTTTAGTAAAACACAGTTTGCACACATGCCCTCCCCGCTAGTTAAGCTGTTGAAGTATAGACACAGAACAGTCCCGTTCTGCCCATCCCGACTCCTCAGTCTGTTCTTCCCATCCCGACCGAACCCTAATGTTCAAGAGCTCCTCATAGCTCATCCGTGGGATTGCAATTCTAAAAATAGAAACTCCATACCGCCTCTGGAAACCGCCCCTTGTGCGCATTCGATCCTAGCAAATAGATTATAGAAAGCATCCGACCGACCCCAACAAATAGAAATAGTGGTGTCCACCCACTGCAGTGACTGCACCCAGTTGTCGTGATTAAACTGACCCGCCCAAGGAAACTGATAAATATTTGATTTCATTCATCTAGTTCCGTCATCTGGATTCGAGCTGACGTCCGTAATAACCCCCGTGTTCATCAGTTATGCCAACTGAACCTGCATCGTTGGTGGTGGTCCCCCCACTACCCGGGACCTCTTTTTTTCTTTTTTTTTTATTACCGCATTTCTCCATCGCGTTGGTATAGGGGACAGAGGCCGAAGGGCCTACCCAGGCTAGCCGCCCTGAGTCGCCAACTAACTCACCCTCTCGCCCAACTCACGGGGATTCGCTCGCCTTAATTATAATATAGAATCAACTAAATATGCGACCCCCCTTTCCTCTCACTTGGACACGCAATAGCCTTTTTTTTTTTTTCTTCTTAGGTAATCTTGCTGTTTTTTTTGTTTTGTTTTTTTGTGGTAATCACGTTAGCAGATTTTTTTTGATCACAGCGACGACATTACGATCTCCCTAGTACCTCACGAGAGCCAACCCAGCGTCCCAGATTGGAAAACAATCATTTCCACTCAACCCCAAGGTCCCAGATTTTCCATACACATAAAACTCATCATCATTACTCTTTTTTTCCCTTCTTTCTAACTCATCATTACCCTATTATTTATTATTTTATTTCCATTATTCTAATTGTCATGAGTCATCACGATTAGTCGGTATTATTAATCGTCATTGTACTTCTTTGTTATTCGTTTTGTTTTGTAATTCCTGCTTACTTCTTTCGCCCATCAGTTTCACTGATCTAAACAACATGTATGGGCCAAAGTCCGGAATAATCGGTAGAAGGCGCCCACGCCAAAACCTTTTCGGTTTTGGCCGCCCAAAGTTTAGCCGTTTGGTACTACCGGCCCAATGACTTGCATGTGGGGTACTACAGGCCCACGCCTCGCTCCAAGGGCCCTACCGGATCATGAATATGGCGCATAAACAGCGCCAGATTCATTTTCATGTAAAAGAGGCCGGGCGTGGTAACGCTGAAGTATCGATTGAGACCCACGTACGTGATTTTAAAAAAGAAGGGCCCTACCGGTTCATGAATCTGGCAGAGAAACAGGGCCAAATTCTTGAACTGGTGAAAACAGGCCGAAGGAGATGTGGCCACGGCGCGATGGCGCCTTTCACCAAGGGGAACGTTGTTCGGGCCGGTAGTACCAAACGGCCGAACTTTGGGCGGCCAAAACCGAAAAGGTTTTGGCGTGGGCTCTTTCTACCAATTATCCCCGAAAGTCCGGTACCCATACGAGATGATACGACAGTCTCCAGTTGTCCCTGTGTGAGTATGCCCTCAGAAATAGTTGGTTGTACAACTTCACTCATCAAGTTCCATCATCTGGATTCGAACACAGGTCTTTATTTCAACAGTTCATGATTGTACCCACTGAGCTACAGTCTTCCCCCGAATACAACGTACGGTCATTATAGCTGTATGTAGACTGAAAGATGCCTCAAATACATCTATAATGATCATGCGTTGTATTCGGGGGAAGACTGTAGGCTCTTGGGTTGTGGAGCAGGTGGCATATCATATGGAGGAATGGAAGCTGTGCGTCCCACCATGACCACAAAATTTGGGAGGAGTGGTTGCCCTGGTCGTCTGCATTTCGCTCGTTGACAAGCAAGAAGATCAATTTTGTGAAATAAGCGGTACAGATCTGTCGAGGTGGGGGGTACGATTTTCACGTTCGAAAGTTCACGAATTTCAAGGGTGCAGCCCCCTCATGTTACTTTGTTGCTTTGATGGTTGATCTATAGCCCCCTAAGCTCATGTTATGTTGCTTTGATGGTTTATCTATAGCCCCCTCATGTTGCTTTGATGGTTTATCTATAGCCTCCGCATGTTAGTGATGGACGAATAGTCTAGCTGCTGTAGCGACATGCGGCGTATGTTGTTCATGTCAGCCATGACCTCATCGCCTGCTGAGCGTCTACCATCATAACTGCCATGGCCTCTGCCGCTGCTGTACTGTACCAGCCATCATGCTAGAGAACTGTGCGAGCCATGGCTGCCTCTGCTGTACTATGCCAGCCATACTGCTGGAGTAGGCTGGGAGCCATCCTGATGGACGACTGTGCCAGCCGAACCACAGTAGGTAATATATTTTACTATAATTCCCATATTTATTTTACTATAATTCCCATATTTACGATCTCTTTGAATCTTCCCCACATGTGTGTACACATTCCAACAACTTCTGGAACAAGGGAGACGTAGAGGCCCTACTAGAGGGAGTGTCTCTTGCAGCTTCCTGCTGGCTGGAGTACATACTTATGGTCATATGGTACAAGGCTATAAGATCATGGCCTGCTGCAGCAGACACTCCCTGTTGGGAATAAGCGAGAGGTAGAGGGGACTCAAGGGAGGGACTATTTTTGCCGTTCTGGTTTTTCACATAGTGGGCTACTGACGGAAATTGTTTCATCGCCTAAGGCGCAGTGAGAGTTGTATAGCCAAATAGATCATTCTATTCGCAATATTGGAATTTGTTTTCGAATTGGTGAAATATACATAAATTGCCCGTGAACTGTATTTATGTAAGTGGATTTGAGAATTGGTTGTCATCGAAATTGCTTATTCATGCAGCGGGACTGATAAGTCATATTCGCGAAAAGAGTTTCATAATGAGTGAAGTTTTTGCTAGCTCAAAGAAGGAGTATTTGTCATTTTTATTATCCTTTAGAAATAATTGCGCGGGTGACCGCTGCACACTTCGGAATTCGCAGGAAGGAATAACAGTAACAGGCCACTGCGGTTCTGGGCCTACCGTCTTCCCCCGAACATAACGCACCCTGAAAATGAACGTATATAAGGTATGTTTCTGGCCCGATACAGGCAAAATGGGGGTGCGTTGTGTTCGGGGAAGACGGTAGGGAGGGCAGTTAGAAACCGCAAAAACAGAACACTGAGAACAGCTTTGTGCACTTCTAGCCGTTGGAAGTTTGGAAGTGGCAAAATCAGGGGCCTGGCGTGGCCACTCGTGTGTGTGTGTGTGTGTGTGTGTGTGTGTGTGTGTGTGTG